GGGAAAAGACCACTCGGATTACCTGGTCGTAGATGGAAAGATAATATTGAAATGGACATTAGGGAAATAAGGTTTGGAGTGTGTGGATTTATTTCACTTGGCTCAGGACAAAGACCAGCTCTTTACTGGCTCTAGTAACCATGGTAATGAACCTTCGGATACCATGCAGTAAAATGTGGTGAATTTCTTGACTAGTTGAACCTACTGTTAGCTTCTCTAGAAGGACCCTAGTCCATGAAGATAGTTAGTTGGTATGAATAACTTTGTGTCTTTGGTTTCTGTAGGTCCTCATTGTCCTGGTGTTGCTGATAAATCAGGTTCTCATAGGACATGTAAGTGTGAGTTTGCAATTCGAAGAAGAGAACAGCGATGTTGATTCCCGAACATTACAGAAACTGAAGAAAAAGAAGATGAAGAGACTTTGCAGTTTGCTTGCAATGGGACGTGAGAACCCGGACCCAGAATTACGCACACTCGTGTTTCTGCAAGTACAGCAGATACAGGGCTCACCCTATCCAGTGTCTGCAGACCACACATCAGCAAATGCATTTGACTGTCACAGTCTTGGTGGCAGTGGCGGCAGTAGTGGGCTTCTAGGGAGCCACTTTGGAGGGGGAGGTCTACTAGGATCTATATTTGGAGGAGGAGGAGGATTACTGGGAAATACTCAGTCTAACTTAAACCCAGAAATTTTGGGTGATCTTGCTGTACGTCCTGAGAGGTACCTGAGACCACTGTATCGGACTCTGAGACCATTAATTCGTTTCTTCAAGAAATGATGCATAAATAATTATCATACCTAATAAAGTAACAGTGCAAGTGAGCTTTGATTCCCAAAGAATGTACCTATCAAGATAAGCAAATGCTACCCCTGTGTCTGTCAGATTGTACAAGGATTTCCAGGCACACTGGTATCTACCACACTTCAGAGAGTCAGAAATTGCCTTTACTTCCGCTATCAACTATATATGAAAATTATTCAAGTGCAAGTAGGTTGTGGATATTAATGTTATCTGCATTTTATGTCATTAAATAGTCTGTTGGAGCTATTTTTGATAAATTTGATAAAGACCTACTTGAGCTTAATGAAATTTGGTGGTTATATTGGGTTAGCATATATTAAAAAATTAAATTATTATGAACACTTTTACTCTACACGCCCAATACAAAATTTTATAAAATCCACTGAGTTGTTTCAAAAATAAAACAGAAATTGCTTCCCGTTGTGTGTTAATTTATGTAATTTGTGTAAAGAGTGCATGAACCTATTAAGATTTATTGTAAATGCGTGTGTGCCTATGACAAGAGGCAGAAAATGTTTAAATTTAAATGATTTGAATGGTTATACTATTGATTAACACACATATGCATTACATTCTATATGAAAATAGCCTCTATGATTTAGTCAAACAGATCACTATAGATAACTGGTTAAAGGATGTTTGCATTCATTCATCAGTTTTAAAGATACCCTAGTTGACTATAGTTTATTTACAATAATTCAAAGTAATGTGACTTGAAAGACAAGTGTTGGCCATTATTGAGGAACATTATAACAAAGTTACTTCTTAAAAGTAACGCCTGTCAGATGCCATCCATCAAGATTGGTGATGCACTCGATTTATAACGCGTTCCATTACGTGTAGTAACATGGCAGGTTATATTGCATTAATTTCTTCAGAAATCAGCTGCTCAGCAGTTGATGAACATTTGAAGGACTTCGTTTGGACATCGAATAATTTCCCATTATGGCAACATTTCTTGGCCAGCGCATTCGCCCAATTTATCAGTTTGTTATTTCATTTTATGGGGCCATTTTAGAAGCAAAGTGTTTGAGACATGTCCAGAAGACTCAAATAAACAAAAACAGAGAATTTCTGAAGAAATAAATACAAATTATATAAATGATATGTATACCAAAGTAGGAAGAATAATATGAACACAATTTATGTGAACACACACAAACACAATTTTGTAATGCATTATTTTATAGCCATGAGATACTGAACCATATTTTACTGTACCACCATGAGGGAAAGGTTTAGCAACATTAGTCTAAGTGATCATGCACTTTCATTCCCATATCAATGATTATATTAGGGGGAAACATGTGTCAAACTTGCCTCTCCTCTGGTTTATCTTTCCTTGGCTAAATTCCATTTAGGACAGAAAGGTTTGGATAAAAGGGAACCGAAATATATACCATCAGCATTGCTCATGTATTAATTTTAGTAATTAATTGATTTTGTTTACTGATTATGATCGTGCCCACCTTCTTTTTCTTCTGGCATTGTTTCTATTTATGCAGGTCAATGAATCCTGCCTATATCTTTATAAAATAAACCCAATAATCTTATGATGAATGGTAGAAGAAGGTATATATGTAATTAATACACTTGGACATGTAGATGTGTTTCTATTTCCATAATGTGACATTTTCTGTAAATTCTTAAAGTACATTTAGTATGATGACATAACCTAACTTATTTTGGTTTCATATCCTATTATCACAAGAATTTTAAATGGTTTCCAAACACATCCTTGTGCTGAGGCCATCTAGGTTAAGTAATAATTAATTTATCCTCACTCTTGCAAAATAATACAATTTTCAGAAACCTTACAAATTACAAACAGCAGTTGCTTCTTCTGAATAGATGGATATAACATTTTTTTTTGAATTGTGACACATTCTGATTTACTAATTTAATACAGAAGACATGGTACATAATCATTACCTCATAATAAACCAACTCCTAATTTTCCATTTAGACCTAAATTTTTATCAACTGTCACAAAACCAGAACCGTCCACTCCAAACTGCCTCAGATCGTAACCATGATCTGAATGAACTCTGTGGTAAGGTGACATATAATATTGACCATAATCATAGTACCATGGCTGGTACATTAATGGAGTTGACCCATAACCAAAATCCACACCATGGTGATCATACATATGTGAGTCATATCCAGTCCATAATTTCCCATCAGCATTCCCTTTGGATTGATAACCATCAAGTCCTAATCCTACTCCTACCAACTTTTCAGTGACAGAACCCAAGCGACGTCTTCGCTCTTTTAAATGTTGTTGATTCTGTTGTTCTGAGCTGTAATGATTCTCACTGTCACCTCTTTTCAGATCTGTTTGTTCAGTTTGAGCACCTTCAACATAAGTTCTTCCTGGCAACTGAATACTACTCCCAGTATGCAAAGCAGCTGTCTGTTCAGGCAGAAGGTCTATGTGAAGTCCTCTAGCATAAGGCATGGCATACAATCCTCTATTACTCAGTGTTGATGGATAGACAGCCACATACATATCTGTTTCATGTACCAACTTATTGCTTGTACTTGTGCTGGTATTTCGTTCCGTATTCCCACTCATTTTTTCAGAGTGATTGGTGTACTTTATTAATATTTCTTTTTTCATATCATCAGTTTTGTTGTTTCTTATAGTATTTCTACTGTATGCATTATATAAATCATCATCTATTACATTTTTCTGCTCTAGTGATATAGGTTGTGCTACTCCATAACTGGGTATTACTGATCTTCCATTTTCAGTATCATTACTCTCATTGCGTATGCCTTCTGGAAACAAAGTTATTTCATTATTACCCCCCACTTTGTAGTTTGCATCTTCTGTTCCATTTTCCAACATTTCTGAAGCAGAAAATTTTACATTCTTATTTGGTTTCTGATTTATGTGTGCAGAGGAATCTTCTTCATCATTCTGTATTTCATCATGTTTGTACTGATTCAAATGTGCTTCTTCAATTATTGAATACTTATTATTCTCATCAGATTCTATTTTTACATCAAATTTATTGCTTTTTCCATTTGACACAGGCCACTGTAAAGAGCCGCCAATCTTGACAGAGCCAAGACGTTCTGTTATCCCATCATTATAGAGCCCACTTTCATAATAATCATTCATCCCATGGTTCCCATTCATTCTGCTGTATCCTCCACTGTTATATCTGTTTCCATAATATATGTTTCCATGATTTAAACCTCCATGATATCCAACTCCATTGGATCCACCTCTGTGATGACCACTTCCATAATATCCACTTCCATGATAGCCACCTCCATGATAACCACCCCCATAATATCCATCACCATGATAACCACCAAGATTATATCCACCTCCATTATAATTACCCCCATTATACCCACCTCTATGATATCCATTATTTCCATGATATCCATTTCCATGGTATTCACTTCCTGCATGATATATGTTTGTTCCACCTACATGCATAACTGTATATAATTCAGGATTCTGCACATTAGCTAGCCCTTCTTTACCCCTATTTACCCCTAAATGATACCCTCTCATTGTATTTTCATATCCAGGAGACAAAACTCCTTGAGCAGCCAGCATGTCCTTATGCGTCCCCATTGCAGAGGCACCCAACACGCCATGACCAACCACCTGACCATAATGCCATGGTGTACCTTTCACAGGGGGTCCTGCTGTTTCACCTCCTTGTACACCAATTCTTTGAAATTCTTGCAAACCTACTCCTGAATTGTGGTTGCTTACTCTAGCCACTCCATGGATGTTATTAAACTCTTGAAATGTTGATGTCCATCCTGCATAAGGTCCAGAAATTCCTTTACTATATTGCT